TAGAATCGAGAATTTTTTACTCTTTCAGAATATATACTTACATGTTGTTTTCTATGACTTTTGATTATTGACAGGACCCGAAAGAATTTTTCGGTGAGGCACAAATATTCTTTTTCTAAAGACAAGACTGCTTCCTGTTAGAGCACTACGGTCCGTGGGTTGAGTACGCAATTGGCGGAGCATGAGAAGTTGTGCCCGTGTAGTACTCTATTTCCTGTAGAAATAAAGTAAGTTCTACAAATATATCGTACTTGAAGATGATCTCTACCCTACAAAAATGACGCAAGAATGAAGAGTTTTGATTAATCTGTTAAAAAATGGCAGAATTATAGCGGAGGATCATTTTACACTAGAAGGGTGAAAATCAGAAAAATAGCGATTTTGTTTTGTGATAGCCTTTATAAAAGCTGTTACTACACTTCAATAGTTTCCGAAAAATTCTATTCAAATATACCGCTGTATAAAAACCTTATTTTCTGTATCTTCCAATATACTCGATTAAAACTCTGGCATATCTCGAACAAGTTCTATTTGAGGTTTTTTTCCTCGAAAAAAAATTTTTCGAGTCCCACTTATAGCTCAACAGTCAAAAATCATAGAAAAATTCTAAGTATATATTCTGAGAGAACACAAAATTCTAATTCTCATACACTACTTGTCACTAGAGTCCATCGGATTCGTTCCGAACCTGAATTCAACAGGATTCGGACTCCACTTCTCACTCTTTTCCTATGTATTTAAATACACAAAAATATAGTTTTATATTTTGTCTGGAAACTTTCGATCCACTGCTTAATTGTTATTGAAAATTATTTTTTTTTTATTTATCTAGAACCATTATGTAAACGTGCATTAGAAATTCGTGAAAAATATTTTGGTATGAATCATCCAGATGTTGGAAAACAATTAAATAATTTAGCATTATTATGTCTTAATCAAGGTAAATATGATAAAGTTGAAGAATATTATAAACGTGCTATTGAAATTTATACAAAAAATTATGGTAAAAATGATTCTAATGTATCAAAAACAAAAAATAATCTTGCATCAGCATATTTACGTGAAGGAAAATATAAATTAGCTGTACAATTATATGAAGAAATTTTATCTGAATCTCAATTAATATCAAATGAACAGTGTCAATCATTAAATTCTAATCGTGATACAACAATAATTTTGACAACATTAAAAAATCTCGGTAATATTTTTTTTTTTTTGAAATTCTTTTGTTTCATAAAAATTTTATTTTTAGGAGCACTTTGTCGTCGATTAAATTTCTATGAACAAGCTGATTTATTTGAATTATGTGCAACAAAATCTTTACAAAATCAATCTGATGTTATTAATCGTGCATTAGATATTTTAAAACAAATTCAACTAAATGATGATATTAATCATGAAACAATTCGACGTTCACAAGTACCTATTACACAAGAATATGGAAAATTACGTCGTAGTGGTTCATTTCAAAAATTACGTCAAAGTATTCGACGTGGTTCAGAAAAACTTGTACAAAAACTTCGTGGTACACCATCAAATCTTCCATCATTTAATTCAATGCAATTTCAACAACAAGATTCAACTATAAAACGTGCATCATCAATGTCTGTTTTAAATAATGTTTCACCATCTTATCCTCTTCAACAACAACAAACAAATCGAACATTAAGAAATATATATTCTATTGATCATCAACAACAAAATAAACAACAATTTATTCCACCATCTCGTGGTCGATTGACAAGTGCAGAAAATATTCATTGATGATTTATTCGAATGAAAATTTTACACTAGTCATATATTCACGAATGTGTCTGTGTTGATTTTTTTCAACATTCCATATACTTCTGGTGTAAACGAACACGATGTTAGTAGGCTTGCTTTTTTTTTTGAGTGTTCCGTTGAAATGCTAAAACGAAAAAAGAAAAATCAAATTGTTATATTATGTATCGTTTTTTTTTCTTTTCTTTAAAAATAATAATTATTTGAGCGCGTATTTATATTTATTTATTTGTTATTTATTTAATGGCATATCTAAAACGATATAATGATAGAAGTCCTCGTTGTACGACATTATTTCTTGAAAAATTTGCATTTCGAGATCAAGTAAATAGGTTTTAAATGATTTAAAATAATTGTTTATTGATTATATATTTTAATAGTATGGTTTTCTAAAAGATGCACGACAAGAAAATATTGAAGATTTTACATCAATTAATGCTATTACATCATCTGATAATGATAAATGTAAAAAATCTACGACATAAAAGAAATTGAAATTCATTTTCTCTTTTTTTTCTTCAAGTGGATACGGAATTAGATAAAATTAATACACAACTAGCAGATATGTTACGTGGTCTAGAATTAAGAAAACGTGCTTATTATGTTAATATGCCGAATATTGTATATATTGTTGGTATGATTATAACATTTAGAAATTTGTTGTTTGTAAAATTCGATTTCATAGGTGGTTATCTATTTGATTCAATTCGAAAAGAACGTCGAGCACCATCGAATGATTGGAAATGGAATATCGAAGAGAAAAAATTAGAAAAAATTCCTCCTGTACCAGGTCGCGGACGTATTAATTTTGGTGTTGCAGCTAATAATGGTGAAGAAATATATTAATTTCTTTTTCGATTTTTATTAATATAATATTTTAATAGGAAAAATGGTTGTTATTGGAGGAAATACAATAATAAATATGTAAGAAATTTTGAAATCAAATAGTTAGAAATATATATATATGATTTGTAGACCGACAGAAACTTGCTATGTATATGGACAAAATGATGATCAATGGGAAATGTTACCATCCTTACCAAATCCATTATGTGGTGAGAATATATATCGTATAGATAAATTAATTGTGTACAAAAAAGAATTATTGTTTAACATTGAAATTTTCTCTAGACGCAGTTCCTTAGTTTTCTAGATCAATTGCTTCGGAATATACTTTTTCTATGAGTAGAAGCTAGTTATATGAATTCTAATAAAAATCGTACGTCGCTCAAAGTGTCCGGAACATAATGAAATAGCAGTATTTTATTCAAGTCCTACGATGTGAGTAAGTAGGCGTGAATGAGGGTGCTTCGAATGTGAGTGCATGATATATGATTACGACTGTGAATGGGCAGAGGACCCATATCCACCCTTGTTTAAGTGTAACAAGAATCGATTCTGATGAAATTCACGTGAAAATTGTCGATCTACACTATTCAATTGTTTGAGATAATGTGAAACCTTTTTTGGTATTCTTCGCAGAAAAACACAATAGATCTTTTATTAATTGTTATAGTTCTTGATTAAAGTCTTGGGTTAAATTATAAGAACATTAACATATGGGTAAAATCATTCGTTAGTGACGAGACTTTGCAAAATTAAAACATATGTATCTCGGGATAATGAGTTTTCATAGAGTTAATTTTGATGTTACATGTCCGTTAAGTTATTCTAGATGCTTTGAAAAGATCAGCGCTAGAGACCTTTGCTCAGAAGAGTTATCAGTCAAAACCTAGCTTTAGTGACGTGGCTCAAAAAATAACATTGACTACAAAATCTCTGTCCAAAGCTTTTTCTCAACATGTCTAGGTTTTTCAAAAAAAATCGATTTACTATTCGTTATCCATGTGACGGAGTACGAAAAAATGCCCTTATAACTGGATGAGGAGTTCAAAAACAATTCTAAACGGTACAATGCCTTCTTCAGAATTTCTAGATGATAGTAAGACAACAAATTTTGTTCCGGGACTTGATTGGATCTCTAGAAAATCGACTTTTAAGACGAAGATGTTGGAGTTTGATCTTGGTGAAAATCTCACCAAAGATGCAATTCGTACCGTCGAGTATATGCGAAAGTTTTCGGATTGTTCTCTCGTATGGTTAGAGAGATATTCGTTAATGACTTGTTTAATTAATTAATAGCCAGTTAAAAGAGTCAATAGTTTTACGCATATCTCTGCTAAAAGATCTTATTCAAAAAAATAATCCTTCTGAAGAATCAAAGTCAAATAGAAATTGGATATGTCACATTTTGTCTGAAATGGATCATATATCAAAAGTTTGATAAAATAATGAGCAATATATCATTTCTGATTTACTAAATAAATTGATTATGTTGTTCCAAAATATTTTCATAAATTCAGAATCATTCATACTCTCTTTTATTATTTATCAAATTTAACAAGAAACTATATTTACAGAAACTTCTTCTTGTTTTTGTTCTTTATTTTTGTATTTATATATATACATTTTGTTCATAGGTCCTGCTGTAACACTTGATGATAAAGATTCATTGTACGTTTTTGGTGGATATGATTTACTTTCTGGTCATGTTCTATTTCGTAATGAATTCTTACAACTTGAAGATTTAACATCAAAAAAGTATTTTTGAAAAAATATTATTCTACTTTTTTATATTATACAAAAACATATTTAGATGGACAATATTAAAGAATACATTTAATATTAATAATAAATCTCAAACAATATCACCACGAGCACGTGCATTACTTGTTGCATGTGGTAATGATATTATACCACCTGATGGTGGACTTTTTGCATGTGGTGGTTATACGAAATCATCATCTGGTGAATTAATACCTGTAGCAGAAATTTTATGTTATGATAAATCAACAAAAGATTGGTCACATTTAACTGATATACCTAATCTTAAAAAATTAAATATCGTAGCTATTGATAATAATATATTAATAATATCAGAAAAAATGAAATCAGATAATCCAGATGAAGAAGATCAATTTATTCCAGTATCAAAATATGATTTAATTAATAGAAAATGGTTAATGTTGAATCAAAAAGAAATTTCAAATATTTCAATTGAAGAAACAAAAACAGATTAATGACATTTTATTTCATATTTACTTTTCTCAAAAAAAAAAACAAAGAAATTTACATTGCAGATAACTCTTGGTCATATATAAGAAAAGAAAATAGGTGAAATGTAAACACTAAGAAAAAAAAAGAACAGAACTAGTTTTTTACGTGATATTATGAAGAAGCCCATCAAGAACACGAAGTCCATTTTGAGTAATTGTACCCATATTTTGATTATAACCACCAAGATTATCTCGTGCCATCATTGATGATGTCATGTTAGAATAATTTCCATATGTTGGACGACGTTGTGGTTGTTGTTGTTGTTGTTGTTGTTGTTGACCAGAATAAGATCCAAATGCTGATGCTGATGCACCAGAATTCAATTGTTGAATAGTTGATGCCGACTGAAAACGAGATTTAGGTCGAATATCAACAGCTGAACTAGGTCGAAGACTTGATATCTAACAAAAAAAAAGAATATAATTAAAAAAAAAAGGAAGACAAAAATGAAAATTTACAAATTTTTGGTTCACTTTTACTTGTGCACCACTACTTTTATCACTTGGACCAATACGTTCATCATTAAATACAACAGTTGGACGACGAATATAATAATTATTATTTCCATTATTTGTTTGTTTAGGTGGTGGTATTGGTGTTGGAGCTGAACCGGAACGAAAACCTCGATTAGCTGTGGATGTTTTTTCACGCATTAAATTTCCAAAATTTGTTTTCTTAATCAACAAACAAAAAAAAGTTGTTAGTGAACTCCTTGTAGGAATAAAATATAAAATACGATGTAGCTGCTTTTTGCTAAGGATAGACAGATTGTTTTATTCTATCTATTTTGGAGTGTATTTCACGGTTCCAAAAATTTCGCCAATTAGACTGTAAATTAGATATGAATTTTAAAAAAAACTTCCTATCAACTACATTTGATGAGTGTAAGCTCTGATATATATATTTCAACAATATTAGCTTCAGCTCTCGCATGTATCCTATACTAATATTGTTTTGTAGCAGCTTGCGAAAGTCCTATTGATAAAATTCCGGCTGCTCTATATTCTTCACCATCTTTTGACTTAATCCTACTGAAATGAAATAAGTAGTTCATATATTATAATGAGATATTATTGATATATGGTCTTTGATCGTATATCAACAACATCTGCCACGGACTATGACGAAGATAGAAAACGTTGCTAAGGCGTCTGTCACCGTCTGTGATGGTCCCTGACTAAGGTGCATCACGATCTTTAGTTAATGTTTGCCGCGGTTTCTGAGAGCATCCGATCAGCATCTATTTCGGCCTATGATGGTCTTCGAATAGTGTCTGTCACGGTCTAACTCTATATATTTCAACACTGCCTTTAGATTGTATACCACAAAATAATAATATGCGATAAAAATTTGAGTTTTTCTTTTTATAAATTACTTGATATATATTTGAACCAGATGATGAATTTCGTTGTTTCGCACTTGTTACTCTTGGTTGTCCTTGAGTTGATTGTAAATTATTATAAGTACTTGTTCGTCCAAGAAGTCCAGGATATGTTGTTGTTGAAGGTTTTGTATATTGTTGTTGTTGTTGTTGTTCATTTGAATAATCATCATCAGTTTTATCTTGATTATAAACTTGTCGAGTTTTATTATAATCATTTGTATTTGGTTGTGTATAATTCGAATAAGCTCCTCGAGTAGCTTCATCTTGTTTTGTTATAATTGTTGGTTGTACAAAAGAATCATATTCTGATTGATCTATATATGCACTGGCACCATAACGTTGTTGTTGTTGTTGTTGTTGTTGTTGTTGTTGTTGTTGTTGTTGTTGTTGTTGTTGTTGTTGTTGTTGCTGTTGTTGTTGTTGATCGGCTGAATTCTCACGTGGTTTTGATGGTTGAACTTCTGTTGTATTATTGGAATTTGAAGATGTATTTGTTGGTATTTTAGCTGATACTTTACGTAATTGAATTAACTGTATTTTAAAAAAAAATTAAAAATAAAGATTTATTTTTATATTGAAATTATATTTACTTCATATAATTTTTTTCGATATTCGTCAATAGTTAATTGTATATCATCACTTAATTGTGGAACGACATCATAACCTTTAACAATTTCTTCTTTTGAATTTTGAAATCTATTAAATTATTATAAATAAATTGAAGAAAATAAATATACAAAATAATAATAATAATAAACATACGAAACAACGAAACTATGACGAAGTCCTTCGTCTGCTATAATTCTTTTATCTGGATTAAATTGAAGAAGACGACGAAGTAAATCAATTGATTCTTCAGTAGCACCTGGAATTAAATTATCAAGTGTTTTTCTTGGTCTAAAATTGATAATTAATAAAATGAAAAACAAAAACAAATTTTTAGAATAGAAAATCTACACAGATGATGCACGTTCTAATACACTTGGTCCATATTGTGATGAAATACTATCTATATCCGATTGACTCGGTTTTGGAATATATTGAAGAATACGTTCTAATTGATTAAATGTCGATGTTCCTTGAAATAATGGTTTTCCAAGTAATATTTCACCAAAAATACAACCTGGAAATGAAAAAAAAACAAAAACTTTTAGAATTAATATATGTTATTTTCACAAAGAATGATCGAAAAGTTTCGAACCCTCTCACAGTAAATCAGTAATATGTATGACAAATCTATATATGCAGTTAATTAATCGAAAAATGTAATTTTGTAGAGGAACAGTCGACCTATCATCTGAAACGATACTTTGAAATGTATAAATGTAATACAATGTTATAGTGATTTCACTAATCTTGAGTGAATATTTGCATGTTACATTCTTTTAAGCTAAGTTTTTCTTATGCGTTGACTCCTTGTTTTTGAACGATTACTTTTAACTTAAAATTTCTTAATAAAGTTGTAAAAAACTGTTGGAAAGATAAATTCAAGCAACAAGTATAAAGAATAATTGGAAACTTTTCCAACAAGATATTTATTCAGAGTCAAAAGCTATGAGTCAGAACTAAGGTTATCGATATTTTCTAGAAGTGGGAAGGACTAAAAATTCGACAGAAAGTACTTTCATTCTCAGAGAAGACCTGTCCACTAGGCCGTCCTTCCCTCGAGACCTCCTCAATATCCGGTTCTGTCCAAAGTTACAATGAATCTATAAAAAGTTGCCAGAAAGTAGGATATTTTTATGCTCTTTTCGAATATGAGTTTAGAAATGTTGTGTCTATTTTTGTGAGTCAACAGGTTTTTTGTTTACCCTATAAGTTCCTTATTGAACATGCTAAAAATTGTTGGAGTCAGTCGTTTTGTACACCGAACACTTCTCTACAAAATGTGATTTTGAATTACTAATGTAGTTTCTACTGCAGTAAGGCTACAATCATTTTTTCAAGAGCACCTATCAATGTAAGACGGTTGTCGATTTTTTAAAAATAAGTATTTAGGAAAAAGAAAAATTGACGTGATTCGTAGAAAGCTAAAAAATATTCAAACTGCGCAATTTGTAGGGTAGCTTCTATTCTATAAACTGATATATAAATAAAGGTCTCAAGTTATAGTTTCAAATCGTAATAGTGAAAGTACAAAAATTTTTCGTCCAAACTAATTTTTTTCGCTTGTCAAAGATTATTTCACTACTCTCAAACAAAAACTAAGTCGAAATTTCTAAGCCTATATTCAAAAAAGAGCGCAGAGTTCCGATCCCAACTCATAGCTTTTGACTCATCGAAGTAAGTCTGATAAAAATAATCTCTATGAGCAAAAGACATACGAAATTTTTTTTAAATTTTTCTCAAAAAACTGTAAAATGAAAAATGACCGTAATATTGAATATTTCGAAATATCTTTTTTCAAATGATAGCTCGAATCTTCCTCTACAAAATTACATATTTTCATAAATTAACCATATATTGATTCGCTATAGTTATCATCGATCTTTTGAGATGTGTCGAAATTTTTCGATCATCCCTTAGTATATCGATTTAATTGTTTTTTATTAACTAATATTCAAGTATGTTTCAATTTAAGTAAAAATCAATGTTGACATAAGTAAATTCCGATTTTAATCTTTTAATTCTCTCACACAAAAAAAAAACATGTTCGAGACTTAACGTAGTTTATTTAAACTTGTTTGTCGTTCAATTTTATTCAGAAAGAAATATTCTTAGATGTCTACTTCTCATCCATTAAAATTTCTTTGTAAAATGACTTGTTTTTTTTGTTACTTACCAATCGACCACATATCAACTCCTTTTGTATATCTAAATATACAAAAATATTATTTAATTTAATCTAATCTCTTCACAAAAAAAAGCTTTAAATATACTTTGATGAAGCAAGAAGAATTTCTGGTGCACGATACCATCTTGTTGCTAAAAATAAAACAAAAAATAAATAATACATAAAAGTTTGATTTAAATTGACTTACCAACATATTCCGTCAATGCAGGATGTTGTGGATCTTCATAAACATGATTTAATGATCTTGCAAGACCAAAATCACAAATTTTAACTCGACATTGTTGATTAATTAAAATATTTGATGGCTAAAAGAAAAGGATTTTGTTAGTGAAATTCTTTTTTCTATACTAGACTTTTTTTTTTACTTTCATATCACGATGAATAACATTTGCTGAGTGAAGATATTTCATTGCTTTTAATAATTGATACATAACATAACGTTTATGTGTATCTTTAAGAATATTTCCTTTTCGTATAACATTATGAAGATCAGCCTCTGAATAGAAAAGAATTCAAAAATTTAATATAGAAATCTTGAATTTTTTTTTACCCATAAATTCAAAAATAAGATAAATATCTCGATCATTATCTGCTCGTAAAACATTTTGTAATCGTATAACATTTGGATGTTCACCAAATTCACGTAAGAAAACTATTTCACGATATGTTCTCTAAAAAATAAATGAATATATTTATATATTTACTTATTAATTATCTTACTTGGGCATCAGTTTGATTTCGAAATGCATCAAATATTTTTTTTAATGCAACTACTTCCTTAGTTCGTTTATCAGTAGCTTTCCATACAATACCATAAGCTCCTTTTCCAAGACGTTTCTGAATCTCATAGTATCTTAATATATGTGTGTCTACTCCTAAAATTCAAATAATAATATTTAATGAATACATGTAGATAATTTGATTTACCATCAGACATTTTTAGATAAAAATTTTCGAGTGTTTTTTATTTAAACTATTTTTCTTTGCATGTGAATTCTATACTAAAAAGAAATGATACTTAAACATGTTCTTTTATTTTTTTGGGTCAAGAATGATAACCATCAGATGTTTTATCTGATGATAGATTACATGACAACACCCTCAAGATTGTAGGTGTAACAATGGTTAACAAATAGAGGTCACCAGATGGCTAAGACAAAAAGTCTATTGTTAAAAACAGAATAATTCCATTCATGTTAATAATTTCTATAATTCAAATTAGTATGATTTTTATTTGAATAAATTAACTGATAAAATGATAATAGAAAGAATATATCATTATACAATATATTTGTCTTTCTTGTCACGTAATAGTATCCCTTTCGTTGTTTCTTTTTCTTTTTCTTTTATAATACGAGAAAAGAATATTTACGAATCGCTGAAGTCTTAAATAAAGATTAAATATCGATGAATAAAAACAGTTGCATATATTAAAATCTTTAATATCTAGATATGAGTATTCGACATCGAAATGTTATGTCACATGGTATTAATCCATCTCATGCTCGTATGTCAACTGCATCACTTTATTCAGTAACATTTGATATACATGATGAAGATAATCGTCATAAATTTTTTCGATGGTTTTCAACAATATTTATTAATAAAATCGATATATATCATGTTCTTGAAAGACAAGAAGGCACACGTACACTTGCTTATCATCTATTTGTATTTGCTTTAACTCTTATTTCACTTATATTTGGTTCAATATCAACTATCGATGAATGGCGATCAACATTAAATACACCATTATATTATGGTGAATTAGCTTTATGTTTATTTTTTACTTGTGAATTATTATTACGTATATGGTCAGCTGGTTGTCTTTCAAAATATCGAACATGGTTTGGTCGTTTAATGTTTATAAGTCGACTAGTTATTGTGCTTGATATATTAACTTTATTTGGTTTTATATTAGCATTAACTACAGGTATAAAAATAAGAAAATTTCCATTATTAACATTAAAATTTTTACCACCATTACAAATGATTCGATTTTTACGTGTTGATAGACAATTATCATCATGGAAAATTTTAAAAGATATTATTATAGCACATCGTCAAGAACTTACGATTACATTAGTTATTGCATTTATGTTTCTTATTACTGGTTCTTATCTTGTTTATCTTGCTGAAACACCTATTGATACTAGTTTAGGTGTTGGACGATTTAAATCAGTAGCTGATACAATGTGGTTTTCAATTATCACGGTAATGTGTATTTTGAAAGTAGAAAGGCTTTTTTCTTTTACATATTTGACGAGTTACTTGTTTTTTACTATTCAATTTTTGAGATAAAAAAAAAAAAAAGATGTACGTTGGGGAATGTATAAGAACATTGTTTGCATAGTTTCATCATACACAAGAACAAAATTTTTGAAGATATCATAGAAATATGTTTTTTTTTTGCATTTTACATTATATTTTTGATTAAACTCAAATATCTATTGATAGAACGTTTTTTATGATCACAATATCTTGAAAGATAACTATTTGCGTATTGTTCTATCAACATAATTTATAGACTTATAAAGATCAATTTTATGGAGATGTCAAATAGTCATTGACGATCGATATAAATATATTCATGTTGTCCATCCTTTGACGAACACATTAAAACGGATAAAAACAAAATGCTTTTCTTCCCTTGTTCTATTCAAAATGATGAATCGACTGAATAATGAATAATCAAAATTTGAAGAAAAAAGAACTAAAGATTCGAAAATCATAATTAGATTTTACTATCATTAGTTGTTGTCTGTTTAAAAATTAGAGATTTAGCAATGTTGATATAGCTTTAGAAAGAAATTGAGTAGAAAATCTAGACTTTTAAATGTCAAAAAGAAACAAAAGCTGCAAGTACTAACGTATATAAAAATGAATGTACAAAACTGTAGAATTATATACTTAAGTGTTACTAAGACTCTCGCAGTGGCCAATAACGTGAATATTTCGAGAAAAAAATGAAAGTGATATGTTTTGTGATTTGAATAATGCCTAATATACTTTGGCTAATAGCCGACTTTTTGATATATAAAAAATTATTCTACCACTTTAAGGTTTGGAAAAATCCTAAGCCCAAAAAATGACTGTATTAAGTAATGTGTTATTTGTTAATTTTTAAAATAAAAATTTTTCCGACAAATTTATAGGGTAAGGATCCCTCATACATTTTACATCGAAAACCTTCTTTTACAAATTTTATTTTTTTTCCCTCCATCTAGCTTTTTATTGAATACTGGAAATTAATGTTTTTGTAAAAAAAAAACGTATTTTTGACAGAAAATAAGTCGTGTCCACACACTCTTTAGAAATTTCACATTGTGACTCCAATCAAAAATTGATCCTAGACTAAGTATATTCAAATCGTATGAAATTTTCAACATATGGTGAGGCTGTCGTGAAGCGACTATGACCCTATATCACGGTGTTTTCGAAAGATATTCAACAAACAAAGGTCAAAAAGAGTGCGGACCCCATTCTATAGATTTAATTTTTTTTTTGAAAGCCTCAAACAATGGTCATGCATTTCTAGAAGTGTATTTTTATATAATAATAAAACAGGCTTAATTCAAAAAACGGACACTGCAGCCTCACATACTCTTTCAAACAAAACAAAAAGTAATTGATTACAATGAAGCTCTTTCGAGAATTTTTGGAAAAACATAAATAGGTTTGCAAGCAGATGATGACAGAAATCATTACAAATTTTGGCAAATAAACGCGATGTCAAAAAAGATCATGTCGTTTATAAAAGATCAGAATTCCGACTATATTCTGTTTCGATTTTTCTGATGAAAATTTCAGGAAGTCTTAAACAATCTACTGTTTATCATTATTCTTCACTAGTAGAAGATTTATCTAGTCAAGCATAAACATCATATTATTTTTCTATTAATTGAATTAAAACAAAGTCTAAATTTGTGACTAACTTTTCGAATATATTAATTAAACAGAGATAAATATGTTTGAATCCTTCAAAACAAAAAACAAAGAATTGAAAACCTAATCAATTTTTATCTTCATTTCTAAAATTTAAATATTAATTATAGATGACAACAATTGGTTTTGGTGATCTTTATCCTACAACATATATTGCTAAAATGATAACAACAACAATTTGTTTTCTTGGTGTTGCATTTTGGTGTTTACCAACAGGCATTATTGGAAGTGTATGTAAAATACATTTCTTGGTTTTTTTCTCGTCATACATATTTTTTTTTAAACTTAAAAAGGGCCTTGCTATAAAAGTTCAAGAACAAAAACGTGATGAAGCATTAAGTCGTCTTGTACCTGCTGCTGCTACTGTTATACGTAATTGGTGGCGTCTTCGATGTGTTTATCATGGTGATCGTTTTGTATCAACATGGAAAATTTACACAATAATTCAACGTCGTATGGATGGTCCTTTATCAACAATTCATAATACAGTACCATTGGTAATTGCATCAACAGATAATACATCTTCTGAAATGAATTCATTACAATTTAATGTTACAGATCCAATGACAACAACAATAAAATCAAATCGTATTCGACGAAAATCAATAATAAGTATCAATGATTTACCAAAACGTTATATAACAGCAATAAAAGTTATTCGTATACTTAAATATTTGGTTGCTTGTAAAAAATTTCAACAAGCAAAACGTCCTATTGATATAAAAGATGTTGTTAAAGAAAATACACAAATGAATAATCGTTTATCAATTATGTTAAATGATGTACAACGTCGTTTAGATTTAGTATTAGGTACAACAAAACCAGCTTCATATTTATCTGATGAACAAAAACGACAATTAAGTTTAAGTGCTCGTATTGAAGAAGTTGAACAAACAGCAATTCGATTTGAAACAAAATTAAATTATTTAGAACAATTAGCATTAACATTAGTTGAAAACGCATAAGAAAAGAATCAGAAAGATTTTTATTTTTATTTTTTTGTGTTTTTTTTCTTTGTACAAATTATTTTTCAAATAAGTTTTGTAATTAACCTGCTGAATGAGGTCGTATGACACTTTTAGGTTTAATTGTTTTATCAGTTGGAATCGATGGTATTAATTCTGCTTGTTTTAAATGTGAACTTGGTTCCCAATCTATATTGAATAATTCTGGTGTTGATAATTGCACTATTGAAGATTCTAGTTTTGTTTTCTCTGCAATAAGTGACGCTATTAATGGATTTTGTTTATCTTGATGAATTCTATTTAATGATTCAATAAGTAATGAACGTGTACGTTCTAGTTGATGTTGTTCTTTACGTAAAATATTCAAACGAATATTTTTTTCACGTTCATAATATTTTAAACGAATATCAAGAAGACGATCTTCACGTTTATTTTTCGCACGAATTTCATCACTTAATTCACTATAACGTTGATGAAATAACTCATTGTGAATATTCTATTTAGACGAGAAAAAAAAACAACTGTATAAATAAATGAAGAATAACAAAAAAATCTTCGTTCACATTACAATTATTCATCTTCTCTACAATAGTATATTAATTAATTCAAAAACTCATGCACATTACCGGTTTTGTTCGACTTAGTGCCATGACTGTTGATAGGTTAAATAAAAAATATTTTTGCTAAGATTTGTTTCACAGTAAGAATATAAATAATAAAATTTGTTTTGGTTTTTTTCACTCTCGTTTGATTCATTCACGAAACATAACAGATGAAAAGAATGAAACTTGGTTGCTGTTTCTCATTCAACTTAATAAACTTGATCTTTTATATCTTATCACTTAATGTCAATCAATTAAGTAATTCGAGAAGAGTTGAAGTTTTCTATTTCTTCTTTATAACAAATTCAAGTGATATATTTTTACCATCGTTCATACTTAGCTTCTATCATTTCAATTGCTTTGTTTAAATAAAGAAGAAAAAGAATCTTTGTTGTAAATTTTAAAAAAAAAACTTTGATCAATTT